CCAGGGCCTCTTCCTGACCACCGTCTTCCTCTCACCCAGCCGTATTTCTCCCCAGAATGAGTAAACCAGAGACAGCCAGGGCTGTCATAGTACCGACTGTCTCCCTTCCCCCGTGTTCATAAACCAAGGACGGGCATGAAGGCTGTTTCTAGATGGGCCTCTGTGGACCTACACGGGGAGGTGCGAAGGGCATCCAAACCCGAATGACTGTGATGCCTGTCCTGGAAGGACCTATGTGGACACAGAACGAGCGAGTGCTGGGCTTCCTTCTGGGCCAAGGAACTGCCCTGCCCACAGGGATGCCTCTGTCCTTGTAGTGCTCAGTGCAGACCTGGCTCCGCCTCAGCCCTCTGCACACCGCCCTGCCTCTCATCCTTTTAACACATCTCTGCGCCACCAACTGAGTGCTGTCCGAGCAGGGCTGTCCGCGGACGGCACTGACAGGAGTGAGGGGCAGCTGCCCATGGAGCTCTTTCCTTGAGTGAGGTAGTAGGAACACAGGCTGCATGCTCCTCCTAGATCCAGCTTGCTTCTGCCTCAGCACGGCCCTCACATTCCTGCCTGTGACAGAGCTCTGGAGAGGAAAGCCCGTGGGAGCCGGGAGTCTGTGTGAAATCTGGCCTTCCTACCTCCTGGGGTCTGCCGACTGGCATGCTTCAGCCCGGCTTCCCCGTGCAGCCCTGCGGCCGCCTCCCGCTGATAGTCTGCTGATGTGATCGTTCCCAAGGGGCTCTGCAGGCTGACATGTAATAGGGACTTGGCAAAACCGAGGACGCACGTTTCTCTAGTGTTGGACAGGTGTGATGCAGGAATGTGGTGACTCACGGGGCCAGCTGGCCCCTAGTAAACCAGCCAAGTCCAAACAGAGGGAAGCAGCTTTCCAGTTCCCAGGGGATTGCCCTCCCCATCTGCCTGACACACACACACACTCGGGGAAGGGGACCTGCTTATCCTTCCACTCTGCTTCTGAGACCCAGTTACTGGGTCTGACTAGTGGCCACGTCATGTTGGAAGACAGGGGCATCGATGCATGCCTGTGATTAGCCCAGGGGCCCTAATATCAGGGTTTAGCCCTGGATCTGACACGTGCAAGAAATCTTTTGTGGGACATTGACTTAATAGTCGCACAAAAAAAACAACCACCTCTCACTGTCATGGAGTTGATTTCTGGATCCTGGGGCCTCATACGGGGTTTCCAAGGCTGTCCGTCTTTATGGGAGCAGACAGCCTCACCTTTGCCCTGAGGACGTCAGTAGTCCCAACGCTTCCTGCTGCACTACCAGGGCTCCAGCCTATGGTTAGCCAGCAGCTGGTGGTGCTGCACTCACCACCGGCTCTGTGCGTGTGGCGTGTCTCTGGGGAAGCTGGCAGTGTCTGGCGGTCAGAGAGCTAAGGCAGGAGCGGGGTGTCAATAGGGAGGGCTAGTTAATTTTTGTACTTTGGACTGTCTAGGAAAAATCAGGGAAGTAAAATTAGGGAAGCACATCACCGGATTCTTTTTTGTTTTGTTTTTTAAGTCCTCCAAAATGAGTTCTTTTATTTTTTAACAGTTTCATATAATTCACAGATCATACAATTCAGAAGTTCAGTCCTGTCAAGAAGAGTTGCACAATCATCACCACAATCAATTTCAGAACATTTTCTTCTTGCTTGGACACATCATTATTAGTTCCCCATTTGCCCCCAACCTCTCCCACCACACCCCCAAGAAGCCATTAATCCGATTGCTGCTTTTATAGATTTACCTATCTTAGATTTCTTGTACAGAAAAGCATACCGAAGAAAAACCCAAAAACTCCCAACAGCAATAACAAAAGTAAGAAGGAGAAAAACCTCAATCTTAGAGAATGTAGAAGATAATAAAAACTAGAACAAATTTAAAATGGGTCAAAAGAGCGATCAAATGAGAAGGTGTTACATTTTAACCTAACTGCTTCTAGAATCCTTCACTGTCTGTGCATGACAGCCAGGCCGTTCACGCCCCTGGTCCAAGGCCAGACGGAATTCGCCAGAGGCTTAACCCATGTGTATTTCCCCTTCACTTTTTTTTTTAACTGAACTTTTAAATGGGTCAAAAAGGAGATCAAATACAGAAAACTATTAAAAATTGGAACAGATTTAAAATGGGTCAAAAGGGAAATCAAATGATAAGGTGTTAAAATTTTACTCTAACCGCGTCTGCTGAAGTTGGCTTTACAGTGCACTCTGTCTGTCAACAAGGCTGTTCATATTCCTTGACTAGTCAGGGAATTCACTGGAAGCTCAATCCATGTCGGGACCCTGCAAATGGTTTCTGAACTTCCACTGTCATCCATAACCTGCTGCAAACTGGGTATTCACAATTTAAGCTCTGATACCATCCTCTCCTTCGGCTTTGAATTTTATTGTTTACAAGCCTTGGATCGCACAGGCCGGTGTGATTCTTCCATGTGAACTTAGTTGATGCCTCCCTTAGATGGCTGCTTGTTTGAAGACCCACCTTTTAAGACCCGTATTCCTCCTGATAGGCGGGCACCACTGAGTTTCTTTGCCACACTTTACGACAGCATCCATATCTTCAGTGATCTCATGAGGGTGAGCATCAAGGAGGGTCATGTCATCAGAACTACTTGTTCTTAGATTGGGACTAGAATTAAGTACAAGCCCCAAATTCTCTTATACACCTATGGTTTATATACGTGGGGTACCACCCCAAAACCCGATGCTCATTTGATTTTTTTCTGATGTGAGGGTGATAGTGCATTTGGAGTTCATAACACCAGGTCAGACTGTTAATCAAGCTTTCTATTTAGAGGTTCTGAAAAGATTGCATAACAGTGTGTGACCCAAAAAGGCCTGATTTGTGGCAGATGGGACTGTTTTGCCACCATGACAATGCACCTGCTCACACAGCCATCTCAGTGCACCAGTTTTTGGCAAAAGCAGCATGCTTCTCTTGCCCCACACACCTCACTCAGCAGCAGCTTTTAGTTTCTGCTCAGAATAGGGACATGAAGGACAGCCATTTGACCTGTAGAAGAGGTGAAGGACGCAAGGAAGGTCGGCCATCCAAACAGATGCGTTTGAAAAATGTTTCCAAGAATGGCATCGCAGATTTGACCATTGTATTAAGTGTAATAGAGAGTAGTTTGAAGGTGATAAGGTTGTTTTTTTTAAAAAAACAAACAACAAAAATCTTAAATACATAGCTTTGAAAAAAATATGATTTGGGTGGGTACCCCTCGTATGTATCTGATTGACTTTTGAGACATCGTTCTTGTTTTATGTTAGAGAATATTATAAGTCATTTCCCTGAGGCAATGACTTTTAATAGATAATCCTTTTGATAGCATCATTAACTTAGCCAATGGTATAGAATTTAAAACTATTGAGAAAAGGAAATTACATGACTGTAGTCCAGCTATGAACCACAGTACATGAATTGTTGACTTGTCAGATTAAATTCTTAAGTGACAGTACACTATTTATACAAAGATGGGGGTTGGTGACAGGGCAAAGCTTTCAGTAACCGTCATTCACAAAGGCAGAGCCATGCATACCAGATTAATACATGTCGTAAGAAAGCAAGAAGGGCATTAAAATGGTAAGGATGTGGTCATCCCAGGCCACTATTCATTGGACACCCTCAAAGCAAGAGATCTGAGCCAAAGTCCAACAACCACCGGTTCTATGCCCTTGGTTGGGATCTCTGCCACCCACACCTGCTTCACACACTAGGGAGCTTCCGGTGTAAGTCTCAGGGCCCCCGCGGCTTTGAGGTGAAGCCCTGTTCACTCAGCGGGGTTTCCACATCGAGTCCTTGTGGGGAAGGGTGTTGTCATCACCCAGTCCCTACGCTGTTCTGGGTGTTCCTTCTGCCCTGTTTGAGAACCATCTCCAGGATCCCCCATTATCCCTTTTCACTGTTGACTTGCCCCCAGGAAGTTCTGCCTAATCTCACCTAGATCCCTGGACCCAATCCCTGTAGGGGGTCAAAGACACTTGAGAAGCAGCCAGGTCTCTAAGAAAGTCTCCGTTGGTTGATCCTTAGTTACTGAGAGCAGAAATAACAGAATGATCCCCAGCTGCCTTTGTAGATACCATTTCAACTAGGAGATTCAGGCGTTGATTCTCCAAGCGTGGGGCTAGGTGCTCCTGTGTGGTGTGCTTGGTTTCGTGAAACAGATGAGAATGGACCTCTCTATTAGATACTGAGCTGGTTGTTGGGAGATCAAACAAATAAACCCCTGCTCCTAAGGAGCTCACAGCCAATCATTCCTTCAAACGCGAAGACTAAATGTGGTGTGGTCAGAGCCACGTGTCCATCGTGATCCAGAGTAGTGCCTGGAATTCTGGCAGCAGCCCTTGGAAATGTGGTGACTTCCTGGGTGACGGCATGTCAGAAGGAAGACCTTTCATTGGAGATGTAAACATTACCCTTTTTCAGTGCCCTTGTTTATTGAGTGCGCACACCATAAATTGTTCTGTTTGGTTGTCATGATCATCCGGGCAGGCGCAGGTCTCACCCCCATTTGACCCGTGGGAAATCCGAAGCTCGGGAGTGTGAACTGTGGTTACAGCCAGTAACTAGAACCTGGATTTGAACCCATGTCCTGGGCAAGGAAGCCCAGGACCCTTCCTCTCTGTGGATCAGCCACTTCCTCACTGGAATAAATCATGGCAGCTTGGAGGACACATTTCTGCTTGGAATACAGGGCTTTTGTGGAGGTGTGCGTGTGTAAATCCAGGTTGAGACCAACTTAAGGCTTGTCTTGTCTACTGAAGCCCTTTACCTTGAGGCTCTTTTATGAGGACACGCCTCTGTAAGGGGCATGCTGGTTCTTACTGCTGTGTTATGGGTTCCTTTGGGCTTTGGGTTTTGTCTGTCTTCATTAAGGACAAACCTTTTTATTGCTCTATTTCTTAGTGGCCATTAAATAAACCAGCAGCTGTCTGAGGAATGCGCACCACTGGAAGGTATGAATAATTGAGCGCCCTGAAATAGACTTTTGTGTTTTCAGCTTGCCAAGAACATTGGGAATGCAGGCTTCAATGAGATCATGGAGTGCTGCCTCCCCGCAGAGGACTCCATCAAGCCCAGCCCAGGCAGCGACATGTAAGTAGGAGACCCACCTGCTCATTTTCCCAGCAAAGACCTGCCTTTCACCCCAAACTCTTACAAGGTTGGGTAATGACACCTTTGGGGGACATCCTTTGTTGGGGTTTTAGGGAGTAAATTGGCCTCGGTCAGTCCCCTTGTGTGTTGTCTTGTTCCTTAATCACTGCATCTCTCCAGCCAGAACCTCTTCTGCTTCTGGGGCAGCTCTGTCTGTTTGGGTTTTAGAATTTGGTTTAAACTATCAGCCTGTGATGGTCCCACGAGGGACGGTAGGTGAGCCTGGGGAGGGTAGGTGACCCTGGGCGGCTCTAGTTTGATACCCACAGAGTGTCCTTTGCAGGCCTGGCCCCCCTGCCTGTGACTGGCTCCCTGCGAAATTTCAGGTGCTGGCACCCAGTCTACCTGTGCTTCTCGGTGTGCCCTACAACCCCTCACCCCCCCACCCCCATGACATTTCCGGTTACAGCTGGCCTGGATCTCTGCCTCTGGACCTGGAAAACCCCTCATGGGCCCTCCCCACTTGTGCCCCAGAAAGGCCCAGCTAGGGGTAGGTTCTGTGCTGGGGTGTTGGTACAAAAAGACCAGGCCGCAGACTGGCCTCTGGACTGAAAGTCAAGCCCAGCTCGGGTCATCGCTGGCCCCCACGGATGGATGAGATCCTGACCACGCTGAGGCGGGGGTGGGCGTAGCGGGTGTCCAGAATGGAGTCTGCAATTGGAAGGGAGCCTGTGTATCTCTGCCATCGCTGCTCCCCCTTGGCTGAGGGGCGGGGCTATCCCCTCAGGTGCACCGCCACTGGCACTGGGGAGACTTGAGCACATGTTAAAAGCTCCTTTCAAATTTAGAGAAAGAGAAACGTAAAAATTGTCTGAAGTTGACCGGGTAATGCGCCGGGAGCCGGCTGGTTAATGCTGCCCTGGTCTGGCCGGTTGCCATCGACGTGGGCGTAGTGTGGTGATGTGGGCGTAGTGTGGGGTAGTGTGGTGAGGCTGTCTGGGGCGCTCCGGGCCCACACCTGCTGTGTGGGGGTGGTGATGGGCCTCCCTGCCACGTCCGGAGCCACGGAGAGGGTCAGTCACAGATGCGCGTTGGCAAGCATTTGCTGTGCGGCAGACCTGTAGCTTGGAGGCCAAGTTGTCCTGCTGTGGGGTGGGGTAACCCATGTTTGCTGGCAGAATGAAACTGGATCGGAGGGGCTTCTGTGTCTCCTCTCGTTGCAGCTCGCCCACTAAGACAGAGCGTATTTACAACCGGGAATATTCACACCCAGGTCACAGCTTGTCTTTGAGAAGGAGGTGGATGGTGGGGGCCGGTCCTGAAGGGGGGCCTGAGGGCCTGTCTGCCTGCCTTGGCAGAGTGGGGCTCACCTGTTGCCGGAAGATGCAGAGCAAAGCCATTGGAAGGAGACAGACAGCGGCCCGCATTTGAGTAGCGACTTTGGATCAAAGTATTCTGGCTGCAGATGGGAAAATGGGAATTTAAAAAGGCATAGGAGGCAGCTTAACAGCTCATTACAGAATCAGCCTTTAATTGGAAACACGCCTGAAACAGAATTGGCGCATGAGTCCTGCCACAGGGCTAGTGGTGGAGAAATGCCGTCCCTGGCGCAGTTCTACAAACGAAGGATCATGCGTGGACGCTTTACAGAAAGCCAAGACCCTGGATTCGAGCCAGCGTTTTGTGGGTGCCGGAAGTAGAGGTTGCCGGACCCGTGCCCTCTTGCTCCCCCGAGATGTGGGCACAGGTAGTGAGCTTACCCAGTGTGCCGAATGATTTGGACCCAGGCCCCTTGTAGCCACGCTCATACGGATCCGGTATCCTCAGCCACCGGTCTGGGTTGAATTAAAGTCAGTCGATGTTCATGTTCGCATCATGTAACAAGTATTTATGGTGTAGTGTTTTTTTGAGATTGGGAGATGTGTGGGTTTAGATATCAACGTGCATGCGGCTTACAACGTCATTATCCTCTCCACGTGGATGCAGTGTCTTAGGTTTCTCGGTGATTCCCTCGGACCTGCAGGGGCAGGACACACCTTCCTCTGCCTTTACTTGAGACGTAGGACCTGGGCGAGTTACTTCCCTTCCTGGACCGTTTCCTCATTCCTCGGCTAAGAAGAGAGAGCTGCCACCCTCCTCCCACAGGGCCCTGGGGAGCTGCTGCCCGCAGTGCGTGGTGGCCTCCTCTGTGAGCAGGTGTGGGCAGCTCTGCCTGCTCAGCATGGCCAGGCCACGGCAGGCGCCTGCCTTCCGGGCACACACCTTGAGAAAGCAGAGCCCTCTCAAAGGAGGTGCCACTTGGAGTTGAACAGGGGCAATGAGCTCTTCCTGAGACCTTTGGACTGTCTGCCGTGTTTGGTGAGAACCGTCTTGGCGCAGTAGGGCAAGTTCCTTACTGTTTATTCCCACCGGCCCTTGTGGCCGCTCATCTCACGATGAAGGCCTGGGCCCTGAAATGCCGGATACTGGTCAGTGCGGAACAAAGTCAGATAGAGCATTCCTTCCAGGCGCTCAGTCTCAAAGAAACACGACCAGCCAGTTGATTCCGCCTCAGCGACCCTCTGTGGACAGGGTGGAACTGCCCCGTGGGTCTCTTCATGAGGAGAAAGCCTCATTCTTCTCCCGTAGAACGGCTGCTGGTTTGAACTGCCGACCATGTGGTTAACAGCCCAGTATGAAACCCACTGCGCCACCAGGCACTCGGAGTACTTTATAAAAAAACCAAGAGTTTGTCCTTGGGTCAGACGAACATGAACACTACCCACTTGGGACCATGCACTAGAAATGTTCTACCTGCACTGATCCCCCACCCACCCCCACCTTGCCATGACTGAAAACATACACACACACACACACACACACACACACACACACACACCCCGCCTTTATGTCTGCCTAGGAGGAGGTGAGCCGTGGGAGGGCAGCGTCCCTGTGTTCTGGGAAGGCCCTCTGTGCCTCTTCATTGGACGAAGCGCAGGCTCCCTGGTGCTGGCACCTTGGGCTCTGCTTTCGAGCGGTCCTCACTCTATATATTGGACTTAGGGGTTCTTCGCCATTTTCCCGCTAAGAAGCCGCGGCTTACTTCTGCGTTTCCCGCCACACTCTTGCCCCTGCGGGTCAGTAAACACTGCCTGAGTCAACCAGTCGGAGATCCACCACCGTGTGGGGCCGACTTGAACAAGCTCACATCTTACTCCCAGGTGTAAAGGGACGGACTGTTTTCAGCTTCCATGTCTGCCTGCGTCTGTAGAAGGGGAAGCCAAGGGCACCCTCTAGTGGCCTGGGAATCCACAGAGGGTTTTGGGGGTGTTGAGAAGAATTTGTGAGCTAGGTGGGAGGGACCCAAAATGCCAGATTTGTATGTGCCTATGGTACCCAGAACAGTGTCTCCAGGCGTGAGGCTATCAGACACATGCTGCCGCTCAGAGGCTCAGAAGCATGGGAGGAGGGCCGCCTCCTAAGCACACACACCAGCTGTACCACGGTCTCCAGTCCAGGGCTTGCATTCTCCACCGGCCCGGCCTTGAGAGAAGTGGAAAGGAGGAGGGGTGGCAGTCAGCCCTGCACGGAGCTGGAGTAAGCCTGCGGAGGAGGGCACGTCTGCCTGTACACACTGCCTGCCTTCAGGAAACTCTGAGCCCGGGCGGCTGGAGAACAGTAGAGGTGGATCACGGAAACCAGCTTCTCACTACCCTCTCCTTGTGGGGTCATGGCCGTGATTGTCCCTTGGCGGTCATCGGAACTACGTAGACCTCGACCACCGTCCAGTCTGATCGTCTGTCTCGAGAGACCCACACTGACTCAAAAGTCCATGAACAGGTGGCGAGGTAGAGGGCACATCGTGAAGCCACCGGGCAAGTACCGCGCCCCCAGCACTGTTGGGAGGTCTCCCGGCTGCGTCCTTCAAAGCGGGTGCTGCTGGGGGGAGGACAGAGCCTGACCTCTAGAGGGCAGTTTACTCACCTGCAGAGTCGAGATTTGACAGAGAGCGTGCCTAGCATTCTTGTGCGGTCAGCTGACTGACTGACTTCCGTCAGGGCTGAGCGCTAGTGGCACCACCAGGGACTGGGCACCACCACAGTCCCTGCCAGTGCCTACCGTGCAGGGTCCTGCCGGCCGCACACGTGGGGGAAGGCTGTGAAGGACATCTTAGGTGGGTCTGGAGTTGGAGGCAGACGGACGGGATGCAGCCTGATCAGAAGAGCCAGACCACATTCACAGAGAGTTCCTGGGAGTTCTTCCTGGCTTTGAAACCCAAGAGCAGCAGTTCTCAACCTGTGGGTTGAGACCCCGTTGGGGGTCGAAAGACCCTTTCATAGGGTTCGCCCAATTCATGACAATAGCAACATGACAGTGATGAAGTCACAGTGCAAATTATTTTATGGTTCGGGGGTCACCCCAACATGAACTATTAAAGGCTTGCGACATTAAGAAGGTTGAGAACCGCTGCCCGAGAGGCTTCTTATGTTGGCCTGGTCTTCCAGCAGGAGCAGCGAGCAAGTGAGCTCCTACGGTCTTTCCAGGAGCAACACGAGCAACATGTTACCAAGGGCAGTAGGTGACTGGGTCTTTGATTGCTGGGAAATAGGTTTCCCTCTGGGTTTGGTTTGGACATCACAGAGCAGTGTGCCTGCCCATCTTCTGGGCTCCCGGTGACCTGGCCCCGCATCTGCCTGCACCGTGTTCCCAGGGGCCGCCAGGAGGGGCCTCTGGCCTGCCTGGTGCCCGGCTTGACGTAGAGCAGGTATAGAAGGGTCTGCAGCTGCTCCAGCACCTTGGAGCAGGTGGGGGAGAGGGGGAACGTGTGGAGGTTGACGAGAGAACTTCAGGCAGGAGCGGTTACACAGTGTCCTCTCTGAGAGGCCGGAGTTCCTGCCAGTGGTAGAGTGACCTGAATGTTGGCATAATTGGACACCCCTTCCTGGTGGTTTACCATGGCACACAGCAGAGTGTGAGCTGTGGCTCTCGCTGGGGACTGTGAATCAGCAAGTTGGGCTGGCCGGGACTTGAGGTGGCTTGAGGCCCACACTTGGAGCAATACTGCTCCGTAGGCCTGGGGAGGGTGAGCAGAGAGGAGTTGCCTGTGCCCCGCCTGCCCCTCCCACCCCGAGGAGATCAGGATGCTTGGGGAAGCCTGGTTATTGGAGGAAGTCGGTACTGTGGCTTCTCCACAAAGACAGGAGCCCCATCCACTGTGAGCCGCCTCCTAAACCCTGCCTTCCAGGTGGCCACCCAACAGGCAAAAATGCAGGTGTGGAGGGGCACAGCCCTGGCAAGGGAGAGTGGGCAGTGCCCAGGCTTCAGAGCGCTGTCTGCCCCGTGCTGCTGTCCTGCCCTCATCATTCCACACTGCCACCGCGAGCTCAGCTGGGCCCCAGCGTGTCACTTCAGGCGGCTGCAGCAGCCCCTAGAGGGAGGTGGTGTCATTACGTTACTGTCCATAGGACACTCCCCAAATGTTACATATTAGCATGTCCGAGGCCACACAGGTGGTGGGCGGTAGAGCCCAACCTGAGAGCCGAAGCCCCAGGCTAGGCCCTTCCGTGAGCTCTGGCCTCTCTCCAATCTGACCATGATGCTGGCCTTCCTGTTAGCTCTGCCTCCCTGCCTGCCCTGGTGGGGTGATAGTGCGTTCACACCTTCCAGAAAGTAAGGGCAAGAGAAGCCAGATTCCCGTCTGTCCTCGCAAGTTGGTTTCTCCTGACTTTTGATGTTGCTCTTTAAACGGCTCTTGGACACATGATCCATGTACCAAATAATTTACAGGTTTGAAGTGTACGATCCGGCGGTCTTTAATGTCAACAAGAAGTTGTACATAGTCGTCCCCCAAAGCAGCCTGCACCCTGCAGCCCTTTCTGCGGCCCCGGCGACACTGATGGGTCTCGAGATTTACCTGTCTCTGGGTGGTTCCTGCACGTGGAGTCACGCTGTCCGCCCCTTTGGGGTCATGTTCTGAGCGTCCGTCCTCGTCACCTGCACCTGTACCTCACTCCTTTTCCTGGCACATCTGTCTGCTGGCATATGACTAATGCCACCTTCGGTCGATCCATCGGTGGCATGAGGGTATTCTGGTTGTCCCTTGATTGGGATTATAAAATGCTTAGATGTCTCCCACCACCTTCTCCTGCTCCCTGTCATCAGCCCTTTCGACTCCAGTGCCGTGAGTCAGTGCAGGACCCTACGTGTTGACCCGTCTACTGTGAGGTCTGTATTGTACACATTTTCTCAGGTAGGAAAACCTGCAGCACAGAGAGATGAAATCCCCGGTCCACAGTCAAACCCTGTGTGTGTGGTGGACACAGGACTTGAACCCAGGTGTCACGAGTCTTGTGTGGTCCCGACATAGTCTCCCTTCCATAGCAGGCTCCTTGGGAAGGACAGTCCACAATGTCCTGCCCAGATCAAGGTGCCCCTAGGGCATAGAGCAGGCAGACTGGGAGTCATCCGATTGCAGCGTGCCCTTTGCGTCAGGCATGGGGTTCACAGGACATCATCCTGGACACACCACCACGTTGTGGGGGAGCTAACAGTGGTCAGGCCGGGGTGGGCTGGACACAGAGGAAGACATGCAGGCCTGCTGGTAGACGTGGCCCGTGCACTGGGTTTCCTGGGAGGAAGTACATAAAATAAAAGCATGGCTATTGGAGGGGCCTGGAAACATGGAGGAGGGAGTTGGGAAGCAGCGTGGTGAGGTTGGAGCACAGCTGAAGGAGGGTGTTGAGGGAGAGGAGGCTAGGGAGATGGGCGGGCCTACACCACCCACCCTGGGAGTGAGGAGCCCTCAGACCCGGGCAGCGCAGGGACCCCCCTGCCCCGGACCTTGGGGGATGAGAGGGCTTCCCGTGTGTCTTGAAAGTGGCTCGGGTGGAGACCCAATGCCCATCTGTAGACAATTGGACATCCCCTTACACAGAAAGGTCACAAGGAAGAGACAAGCCAGTCAGGGTGCAGCATAGCACCGATGAAACACAAAACTTTCCTCTAGTTCTTTAATGCTTCCCCCCACTATCATGATCCCAATTCTACCGTACAAATCTGGCTAGACCAGAGCATGTACATGGGTACAGATAAGAGCTGGAAACACAGGGAATCCAGGACAGATAAACCCCTCAAGACCAATAATGAGAGTAGCGATACCAGGAGGGGAAGGTGGGGGGAGAAAAGGGCAATGATCATAATGATTTACCTATAACTCCATCCCAGAGTGATGGACAATAAAGTGGGTGAAGGGAGACATTGGTCAGTGTAAGACATGACAACATAATAATAATTTATAAATTATCAAGGGTGAGGGAGGGAGGGGGAGAAATGAGCTGATACTAAGGGCTCAAATAGAAAGCATATGTTTTGAGAATGATGATGCCTACAAACGTGCTGACACAATGCGTGTATGGATTGTGATAAGAGTTGTATGAGCCCCAATAAAATGACTTTAAAGGAAAGTGCCTCAGGACCACAGGAAACGCGGGTGCCGGAGGGGAATCCCGAGGCAGCCTGCTTCCCACTTGTGGCTTCCTGGCGTGGACCCCCGCTGCCCTAGGTGAAGCCCAGGACCCCACACAGTGAGCGAGCGAGCAAGTGGGGCCAGCGGTGGGCAGAGCCTATTGACCACATGGTGATAGAGAACTGGGCATTGGGGTGTTTGGACAGGCCCGCAGTGATTTACCGCCTGGATTGCGTCTGGTTCCAGGAACGCAAGGAAAGACTACATCACTGCCAAGTACATTGAGCGGAGGTATGCGCGGAAGAAGCACGCGGACAATGCCGCCAAGCTGCACAGTCTGTGCGAGGCCGTCAAAGCCAGAGATGTGTTCGGCCTGCTCCAAGCCTACGCCGATGGCACCGACCTGACCGAGAGCATCCCGCTGGCCAGCGGACATGTAAGCATGTGGGTGGGCTGCCACCCTGAAAAGACAGAGAGCCAAGGGGCTGGGCAGGTAGTCCGAGCTGCCACCTCAAGCAGTAGGCGGAAGGTGGCCTACTTTTTGCAAGAAATTGGCCGTGCGTTCTTAGGCCACAAACCGAGTCCCCCGCTGGGGAAAGAGAGCCCCTCTCCTGGGGCAGGAGAAGGCCAGGTAGCCCAAGGGGACTGACAGCTCACCACATACTTCCAAGGTCTGGCCTGGAAAGGGAGGTTGGGGAGCGGGCACCAGTTTCTCACCTGCACTCCACTCTGCCTCCCTCCCTGAGGCAGTTGAAATCACGAAGGTAGCCCCCAACGTCCCGAGAATTCTCTCGAGAAGGTGGGCATCACTGCTTCATGCCAGTCAGCAATAACTTGCCGGTGACCACGGCGTGGTGGCCTGTGTCTTCTCCCAGGGTGCTTTGTGGGTGTGCACTCAGTCCCAACAGCAGGGGTCCCTGAAACCTCTAGCCTCAGTGTTGAGAGCTAACGAGCTAGCCAGGCGGCCATAGCCCACCTGTGTCCCCGCAGACCTGCTGCTGTTGTCTGAGGCTTAGCCGGGCTCCTGGGCGGTGCTGCTCGGAGGGACCAGCTGCTTTCTCTGGGTGGGTGACACACGCACCCTCCTTCCCTGGGCCAGTGAGCATTAAAGACAGCCAAGGATCTGCGTGCATGGCCTTCACTGTGTGCAGAGAACGAGAAAGCGTTACCGGTTTAAAGGATGTTCCTGATGGGAGGGAGGCTAGGGGATGGAGGGACAGGTAGTCTGAGACCTGCAGAGCCTGTAGCGTCGCCAGGAGTCAGCTGACCTGCAGCATCCAGCAACGGCTGCAGATACATGAAAGGGACCACTGGGCGATGCAAAAAGGGACCGGTGGTACGAGCAATTCCTGGAGGCCCTGGGAAGGCAGGTCCATGGGTGTGCTTGCTTCCAGGAGGGCACAGCCATGAGATCCGGATGGAGCAGTCCTCGCAGGGAGCGGACACACGGGCGACTGACAGCAACGTATCTGAGAGGAAGAACAGTGTGACCCATTTCTGAAGTCCGCTGATGAGCCACCCAGGGTCCCAGGGCATATGCTCCCAACCAACATATTCCCTTAAACCGGTGGTTCTCAACCTGTGGGTCACGACCCCTATGGGGTTCGAACGACCGTTTCACAGGGGTCGCCCAATTCATAACAGCAGTAAAAAGTAGCAACGAAAATAATTTTATGGTGGGTGGGGTCACCACCACATGAGGAACTGTTAAAGGCTTGGCATGAGGAAGGTTGAGAAATGCTGTCTTAGAGGGAAATTTGCAGCTTCTCCGAGAGATCAGATAAGAGCCTTCTGTTTGCCTTTCAGGAACCGGATGAAACAGCCCTGCACCTGGCAGTGCGATCTGTGGACCGGACTTCGCTCCACATTGTGGACTTTCTCGTTCAGAACAGGTACGGGGTGCAGGCTACAGGGGTGGCGTGGTTGAGCAGGAAATAGGATGCCAGCTCACTGCTGCTTCCCAGGTGTCCACACGACAGGAAACAGGCCGCCAAGTGTGCAGGGCTTCGTGTTCCACCTGGCAGAGCCTCGAGGACGAGGCTGGTGCATCGGGAGATCGAATCCCATCAAGGGGTCTGAGAGTGCCCAGACAGGTTCCAAGGCACAGAGGGGTGCTGGGGTCTGTGTGCGGCCCAGTGCTCACCTTCTGTGGCCTGTGAAGTGGCTCCCACCGCCACCGGAGCACAGTGCTACAGGCCGGAGAGAGCGTGGAAGGGAAGGGATGTGCATGTTCTCAAGGCTGCTCAGGCAGAAAGGTCCTGCACCAGCGGTTTCCCTCAGGCCGAGGGCCCTGCTTGTTCTCTACTTGTGCTTCCCTCTGCTGGCCTTGCCTGAGTGGTTCCCCCAGGCAGACTATGAGACCCTTGGCCTTATAGCTGGCTTCCTCCCAGAGCCTTGGGGGGGGGGGGGGGGGGGGGGGGCGGGGAGAGGGAGTGACAGGTTCCTGTTAAAACTATCAAAGCTGCTCCTCCAACAACAGGGTCCTCTGCACTCCCCTGCGGTCCTGGGAGACAGAAAGGGGCAGGGGAGCGGAGGTCTGCAGCTTCCCCGGGAGCTGGAGGGAAGCTAGGTGCATGGTGGAAGCTCACTAGATGGCCCAGCCATCTGACCGTCTGAACACCCATCCAAATCCCAGAGTAGCAGGATTGAGTGAGCGCTCCGCTCAGCAGCTGGGTGCTGCCGTGGCCCCTGCGAGTCAGCTCGGCAGGAGAAAGGAGATGTAGGGTTCTTTTCTTCCATAAGGCGTCGGTGGTGGGGGGGGGGGGAGGGGAGGAGAGGAGAGTTAGAAAAGGAGGCTCCTTTTGAATCAAAATCTTCCTCGGTTTCCTCCCGTGGGAGCAGATGGCCATTGTCTCCTGATGGCCCACGTCTGTCCAGGGAGCACACACCCTGCTCCCCACATCCCTGATCAGGGTGGGTGGCCAACATTGTAGGGATTCCCATTCCGCTGTTGATTAAATCCCTTGCCCCCATCTGAGGAGCACAGCCTCGGGCTCCCGGGGTGGCACAGCTGTTACAGCGCTTGTCTCTGAATCAAAAGGTAGGCAGTTCTAAGTGACCCAGAGGCCCCTGACAGGCCCGCCTTCCTCTGACACCCAGGGAGTCGCCATGAGCCATAGTGCACTTGATGCATCAGGTTTGTGGTCGTTTCAGTGAGGAGGTGTGAAATGGGAGAACAGTCGGAAGGTGAACCAGCACATGGGGCCCGTGGCACTCTGGGAAAATGGCTTTCCCGCTTCCTGTCCAGAGGGTCCAGTAATCAGACAGAGAACCCTGCGTCTCCGTCCTCCTGTGAGGCAGGATGGGTGAGGCACCGGACTGCCTACAGCCCACCTCCGAGGCCCCTGGACCTGCCAAGGTATCGCAGCCGAGGACGGGGCACTACCCTCGCTCCAGGAAGGATGGCAAGAGCGTGGGGCTCGCCCAGCAGGGGCGGCAGCCCCGCCACAGGCTGCACTCATCCCGCCTGGCCTTCTCTGCCTTCGTCGGCCGGCTGTGTACAGAGGCTCTAAGAGCGGGGCCCTGCGAGTCTCCCCACCATTGAGGGTGGCGTGGAGCGTCGGTTCGGACATTGGTCTGAATGCTCCTGGCCTGACCCCAGCCTCACTGACTCTCCCTCTCCCTCTCTCCGCTCAGTGGGAACCTGGACAAGCAGACAGGTAAAGGGAGCTCGGCCCTGCACTACTGCTGCCTGACCGACAACGTCGAGTGCCTCAAACTCCTCCTCCGGGGAAAGGCCTCCATCGAAATCGGTAAGTGAGCCCTTCTTGCGGGCGAGGCTGCGCTCTGGGCAGGCCAAAGCTGAGCCTGGCCTCGGGCGAGACCAGGCCCTGCCTGTGGGTGGGTTCCTGGGCCTCAGGGGCTCTAGCACATGTGAGCCGTGTGTCTTAGCTGTTACGGGCATTTGCAGGCATTTCACAGTCTGCTGAAGCGCACAGACAGCCCGCAGCTGTCAGCAATGCCAAAGTCAATTCACACAACTCGGGGAATTTTGAGTTTCTGTCCGGAAACTACACCTGTCCTATGCCCACCTGAGATGAGACTGACCCCGTGGCCCGGTCTGCATGTCGGTTTACTTGAAGGGGAAATGTGTCCCCTTCCATTTGCCCTGACGCTTCTCCAGGAGTGGCCCTTGTTCGAGTTTGGCCCCCACCCCTGCCCTCTGGGATCCATCTGCGGCATGCTGACCGGCGGACAGGCGTGCTTTCCCGGGAGGGTGTCCTGTTAGCCTTTCGTGAGGAAGTACTTTCACAGACTGGAGCACTGGGGACGGGAGTAGCAAAAGGTGCTTGCTTATCTGCTTACAAGCCCTGCGAGTTTTCCTTCAGTTTTAAAACCTGACTGAGACAATCTTTGGAAGAACGTACAAAATGTTCACTTGTTAGACTGCTTGAAAGAAAACATCAAAGTCCAGAACACCCAAAGCCACCTCCACGACAGACAGTGTTTGGGGCGTTTAGGGCTGTGTGCTGGCCAGCTCGATTCACTGAAATGGCCCGGATCCTGATTTGAGTATGTTGATGACTGAGCAGTTTTATTCTCTTCGTTTGCTCAAGAGACTAACCCTGACTGACTAGCCAGACTGCCCTTAGCAAGCCCCAGTGATGCAGCGAGGACATGGTAGGCTGCGATCAGCATGGTCAGCGGTTTGAAACCGCCAGCCGCTCCTTGGGAAAAATACGAGGCTTTCTACTCCTGTGAACAGTTAGTCTCAGAACCCCTGGGGGCAGGCCTACCCTGTCTGTTACCGGGTTGCTAGGCAGGGAGCTTGCTCTGCGGTTTCTTCGATGCCTGCCCAGGTGACAGCATTCCGCCCTGACGGCCCCACCCATGGTGTGTTTCACTCCTAGTGCTCAGCATCATTTCAGGCTGCGCCCCGAGACTTCAGACCTTTCCCATTACTGTGCTCACACCCTTCTTCCCTGCAGCTAACGAGTCCGGAGAGACGCCGCTGGACATAGCCAGGCGCCTAAAGCATGAACGCTGTGAGGAGCTGGTGAGTCTCCCCGCCCCGCTGGGGCGGGCAGTGAGGGGGCCCTGCCCACCAATGCTGGGCAGAGTCTTCTCTGAGCCCCTGCCGCAGGCAGCCCTCCTGGAGAAAGTCTCTGGAGGACTGCTCCCTCTGGTGGTGAGACTTGGATCAGGAACCGATGCGTGCGGTCGGCTGTGACCCCTTTTTCTGTCCACACCTCACTTCACAACACGTCTTATTTGTCCCCCCAGTCCATCTGGGCTGCCCTGGGCCTGCGCTATGCAGCGTGAAGAAGGGACAGGCCAGAGTTTGCCGTGGGGACCCACGCTCTGGTGGTCTCTTGTTTGTGAAGTGAGCCAGTGATGCCCGATAGCAGGGTCGTTGTGAGAGGGACTGTGAGGCAGTGGGCACGGGACACCTTCCCAGGACGTAGTCATCCAGATCAGTGCCGTGTAACCATGCTCCCCCAGAAGGGGGAATCCTGGTGGGGCCAGCAGTTCAAACCACGAGCCACCCTGCCGGAGAAAGTGGAAGCTTCCTGCTCCTGACCAATTTACCGTCTCAGAGACCCTGTCTCTAGGGTCTCTGTGAGTCAGACTGGGCCTGGTGCCCGTGGGTGGGTAGGGAGGCCCGCCTCCTCCCAGATCCCGACTCTGCATGTGTGCCCATGAGCTCGTTTGCAGCCTATAGCTATCGTGTGAAGTGGCGTGTCCCTTGTCCTCAGCTCACAGATGCGGAAGCACTAGCCCACAGACAAGTTGACTTAGCCAAGGTCACACGCTACTGCTTGGGAAGGAGGAGAATTAAACCCTGATGTCCTGAGGCCTCCATTGTTGACAGTGAATCCGCTTGTCTTTTGTACGTCTAGCCCTCGTGGCAATGTGGTTGTGCAGTGGGCTGCTAACCATAAGGTCAGCGGTTCAAAGCCACCAGCTACTCCACAGGGGAAAGAGGAAGCTTTCCACTCCTGATAACTCTTGACAAAGAGGTACAGCCGTGGAAACCCACAGGGGCAGTTCTGCTCTGCCCGATGGGGTTGTGGTGAGTTGGCAGGGAGTCCTGTGTGTAGAGAGTGTAACCAGCTATCGGCTTTCCTGGGGGGGTGGGGGGGGTGGGGATAGTCCATAAAATTGTTTTCTGCCGGGCTTAGTGCTCTTAAACTGGTTGAGGCAGCGTTAGCCTTGGACACATTCCCATGTGTAAGGAGTGTTTCCGTACCTGCAGGCTACACATTTTCCTTGAGATTGCAATACCCCCACCTGCATGGGGGTTCCAAAGCACTGAGTGAGGGTTGTCCAGGCTTCTGGTCATCCTGTGAGTTTGGGGGAGGAGGCCATTCCCTTCTCTTCTTCCAAAGAGGAACCCGGGACTCAGGTATTCAATGCCTGAGTCAGGTGGTGGCAGGGTTACCCACAAGACTGGCTCCCACCTCTGAGTCTGTACGTGGGACTTGTAGTGAGTGGAAACAGGTGCGTTTGACTCTGAGTTGGAAGGAGGTTTGGATGCAGCAGCAGGAGCCCCCGTGGCACTGTGGGTTAGGCAGAGTCGGAAGTTCAAACCGACCAGCCTGCCTTGGGGAAAAGGGGGGCAGTCTGCCCCTGTAAAGATTTGTGGGGTTGGAAGCCCCATGTAGACTTGCTGTGAGTGAGGATTCTGCCTTGTGCAAGGGACGCTCAAGGCCCCGTCAGTGGTCAACAGCTGCCCGTTCAGCAGGCGAAGTGACGTGAACAGCCTATTGCCAGTGGGGTTGCCCAGTCCAGCTACTGGGTAGCATTACAGGGCCAGCACGAGCTGTCCGTCAGTAGTTCCTGTGAACGTCTGTGCCCTGGGGACTGCCCTGCTGGAGTGGCCTCTCTGCCTTTTGAGCAGCCCGGCCCGTCTGCCCGAGTGTGCGGGAGGCCAAGCACAGGAGCAGCATCTCTGACGGCCCCTGTCCTCCTCAGCTCACACAGGCCCTGTCGGGAAGGTTTAATTCTCACGTCCACGTCGAGTACGAGTGGCGCTTGCTCCACGAAGACCTGGACGAGAGTGACGATGACGTGGATGAGAAGCTGCAGGTTTGTGCCGGCTGCAGAAGGGCAACGGCTTTGGGGGGGCCGACCCCAGCTGTCCGCACAGCACAGAGCTCTCTTTTAGGGAGTGTGCGGCACACTGGCTCAGGTTCAGCCGTCTTGGCTGTTTGAATCTCGCCTAGCCTCACCTGGAACCCTGGAAAGCCCCGGCTCCCTTCATCTGATGAGAAAATGAAGCCTCACGGGGGAAGGGGACTTGGCCGCAGCAAGCGAGGGACTAGAACCTGCTCGCTGGCTGTTGAAGCCCCTGGCATCGCCTTCCCCTTTGCCAGCTGGGACAGACGGGCGCTCTGGCAGTCTGACTGGGGCCCGCATGCTCAACTCCCCACGGCACCTGCCTGTCACAGAGTGCTACGGGGGAGCCTGCCAACTTCTTCCAAGCGGGAGTCACAGGGATGCCGCCTGAAACCCACTTACAGGGTTTCACGGCTTCTTTAATTATTATTATTCTTAGATAACTTTTAGAAGATTTTATTTCCAAAGCCCTTTACCATTCTCGTGGGCAGTGAGGGTAGCCAGTGATAGGCATTTCCAGAACTGACCGGGCCGTGGGAACTTCTCCTTGGTAGAACCTGCAGCCTCAGGAGGAAGCTGCCTTTTGTACAGCAGCAAATGCCTGCGTTTCATCTCTCAAGCCTGTAGCCCTGGAGTCGGTTTCCCTCCCAGTGGCCCTAAGGGACAGGATAGAGCTGCCCCCCGGGGTTCCCGGGCTCAAACACAATGAGCGAGGACCGTGAGCAGACACGGGGCCCGGCATGTCGACTGAGAGGAGCCAGCCCGGCAGCACCTCACAAGTCTCCACCCGAGCAGGTGGTCAGTCCGGTCTTCCTTTCCCATGTAGCACTGGGTGCGTTCAAAGTCCTTGCCTTCCAATTTAGGACCCAGCACACCAGTGGGCTCCTTCCATTACAGAAGGGTCAGCGAGCTCTCCCTGAAGGGCTAGGTTGTACATCCTGTAGGCACGCAGATCTGAAATATCAAAGCATCGCAGTCCTCATTGTGGCCCTCTGTTCTGACCAAGCACCGGTGTGCCAATAAAACTATTCACAAAGACAGGTTGCCGGCAGTGGCAGGTTGTAGCTGGCCGGCCCTTGGCACGAGGGGACTGGGTGCTGTGCCTGGGTGGTCAAGGCCGAGGGGCCGATAGGTGAGAGGAAGCGTGTCTCTGGAGAGAAGGCAGAGCTGGGCGGAGTGCGTTTTTGATAGCAAGATGAAGAGCCTCCAGTTAGTAGATGGTGAACCGTGGCGCGCGTGCGTGTGTGTGCGTGCGCGTGTGCGTGCGCGTGTGCGTGTGTGTCACGCTCCAGAGGCAGACGAAGAGTGTGTGTTTAATCCCGAGCGTTCCTCCAACGCTGGAGAATGTCCAGTGCCATCAATGCCCACCCAGACAGGATCTACAGAGGCCGAACCCCAGACCGAAAGGTGTAATCGAGAGCTACGTGTGCCTCCCAACTCATGCACCTACCTCTGCTCCACCGTTCCTCCTCCAGCCTAGCCCCAACCGGCGAGAAGACCGGCCGGTCAGCTTCTATCAGCTGGGATCGAACCAGCTGCAGTCCAATGCCACCAGCCTCGCCAAGGACAAGCAGAGGGGTTTTGGGCCCAGCATCTTGCAGAACGAGACTTACGGAGCCATCCTGAGCGGCAGCCCACCCCCCAGCCAGCCTGCACCCCCCAGCACCACCAGCGCCCCCCCACTGCCTCCGCGGAACGTTGGCAAAGGTACTCAACCATCTGGGCTCCCTGCAGACACAGGTGGGCTTTCACCTGGCTGTGCTTTCCTTGCCCCAGGTCGACGGCATTTGGACCAGTATGAGGATGTTTGTCTGTCCTTCGGGCCTCTTGCTTTACTGTCATCTTTCTCGTCTTCAAAGACGTTCCACGAGCCTTGGGGTGCCGTGTGGTGGTGAGATGTTCTTCTGACTGGACTGAGGCACTGTGCCCATGGTTTGTGGGCAAGGGGCCTCCCCTCCAGAGGGGCCGCTGCATGCATACAGCTGCCAACTCTGAACCAGGTGCTCGGAGGGGATTTCTGCAGGGCCCCTTCTCCCCCTCTTCTCTGTAGCCCATCCCACTCCCCATGCCCTGACCTTTTGCCCTCTCCCTCATGACTGCTCGGTCAGCCTGTGGCCCCTGCGTTCCTTCCTTCTCGCTCAGCCTGGGAAATCGAGGACACTAGTATAGGCAGCAGTGCTCAGCCGGCTGTGAAAATACAAACTAGACTCTGGGGACCACCGGGGTATGTGCCAAAAGCACACATCTGCACAAAGTCCCGTCTGTCACAACCCTGGAAGTTTCCTTCTAGGGGTGATATGTGCCTCTAGGGGTATATGCACGCATGTACATGTGTACATAGGTATGTATATGCACATGTATACATAGATATGTATGTGTATGTATCTATGTGTCTACATAGATATATATGTGCACGTATGTATGCAGTCCATTGGCCTCATACCAGGCAGCCGGCCACAGTCCTGGCCTGCAGACTCAACACGTGGCAGGCGCATGTCTACACTGGCCGGTTGGTTCCTGTCAGGGTTGTCAGCCACAGCCCAGTGAAGAAGGAACTTGGCGCCTTGTGTGCCGTGGGGAAGGCCTAGGAAAGATTGGACCAGTGCTTGTGCAGAGTGCAAGCCCAGGCGCCGGCTGCTGATCTCCCTTGTGGCCATCGAGGAGGGGCGGGCGGGCGGGGGGGAGAGCGAGCTAGAGAGCTAGCTCGTGTCCTGGGAAGGGTGCGTGTGGGTGCATGATGACAGCAGATGGCTGGAAGGCCTGGCCGCGTGCCACTGCTTTGGGCGTGTGCACTGAGCAGGGTGTCTTGGCGCATGGCAGGCACTGGGTGTTAGGCTGGGTTCTCTAGAGAAACAGAACAAAGACTCTTATAAATATATATCTATATGGATAGGTTTATACATTAACAAGGAATACAACAGCTAATTAGTCTATACAGGCTGCTGGGTCCAAGGTCAAGGAAGCAGATAGCAGAGTCCTCCCTTGGGCAAGGCAAGCAGTCTGCCCACAGGCAACAAGCAGCACAGTGGGTCACCAACAGTTAGGAGCTTAGCGAAGCAGGCCTGGATGGGATCCCAAATTCAAGCAATGCAAGACGATAGGGTCTACCAGCCTCAAGCTCAAGTGATGTACACACCAGCAGTGTGGCAAAGCAGGAACCTTAAGCTGTAGCGATATGATCCACGAGTTGGTCTGGCCCATAGGTGGTGTAGCTCACAGGGTGAGGCAGAGAACTAGCTAAAGCAGCAGCACACTCCAGAACACTGGTCCAATCACCAGAGGGCACAAGGGGGAGGGCCTTGCAGAACCATTTATCTCTTTGCCCTCCAACCAAACTGCAACCTGATGAATCCCACATGTTCCTGTTGGCCAGGTTGGCACAGTAAGTCTGTCACACCCTGCCCCCCAGCTCAGCCCTCAACATCAGGGAGGCCCAGATACATATGATGAACCATGGACTCACCCCTAAGGAGCAAACCACCCACTGTGGCAGGTATGACACCGGGCACCTCAGTGTAGTACCCATTGCCCACCCAGCACCCTGTCGCCATGTGCCCCACAAACCTAGCCAGACCGATCTGATCCGAGGACACGCCAGAACCAGGTCAGACGCTACAGCTCACACGGCTCCCCATCTTCCCAGGGTCCCTGGAAGGGCTGAGGCCGGGTCCTGCTAGTGGCTCCTCCCATCCCCCTACCCCCCCCCCCTACACACACACACACAACCTCTCTCTGTGTGTGAATTTGTGTCCCCAGACTGAAAATGATCTGGCCCCTCCATCCCCACTAGTGAGTAGCCTCGCCGACTGAGCACCCAGTGCAGAGTGCTGGCTTCCTGGGTGGGGTCGTGAACCTGGAGGCAGGGGCCTCTTCTCGAGACCGCTCGCTTTCCTGAAGGCTCAGAATTCCGGGGTTTGTTGTTTCCTTCACCCTTCTTTTTGCTGTTCCTCTCTTTCGCGGTTTCTGCTTTGGGGGTGTGAACTGTATTTTACACTGGCTGCCCGCTCCTGGGGGACTTCCCTGGCTCCCCTTTAGTCCTCCATCATTGGCTTCGGGGTGGGATGCTCACAGCACATGAGAGTTGAGGGTGTGAGAAGGCCAGGCCTTGTCCTCTCCTGGACCCCACACAGTGTGCCCTGGGAGGGGGGACCACCTTCCTTCCCAGGGCCTCCCTGTGGGCCATGCACAGCCCAGCTTGGGGCTCACCGGGGTCTGTGCCCTGAGTGGACGTCATCCAACAAGGCAGAGCACAGAGCTTTGAACAGAGGACAGGTTGTGACCAGGAAGCCCCCGGGCCCCTCCTTTTGGGGCCCACCCCATCCGGGTCTGTGTACAGGATTTGCAGGGAGAACCCTCCTTATTGTCTTTGATTTGTACCTTTGTCTCCACCAATTGGGTCGGCAGCGAACAGGGTGCTCATCTTTGAACAGCAGTTACTCTCTGGGGCTCCTGGAGAAGCCCCTCCCAGGCAGGAAGAGCTGGCTTTACATTTGCTCGGAAGATGTCATTTTGCTTGTATGTCTCCCTCTTCAAAGAGCTGCTTCCTGATCAAAAATGAGGAATTTAAAAAATTAAGTATTTGGGTTAAAAAAACAAAGCTGAGACCCTCCCTGGCCTGGCCGGTGTCGGCACCTCACGGGCGAGGGAGACAGTAACACTTCGCTGTTCCCTGCTCTGGATGCTGCCCTGCAGGCCTGGTCCCCATTCGTGCGGGAGGGCGTCAATAATGCAGTGTTCTGTTTCTGTTTTTGTCCCGTGTGCGCCTGCGTGCACCTGGTGTAGTTCAGACAGCCTCCTCGGCTGGCACCGTGTGGAAGACAGACTCTGTCCGTGGGGACAGTGTCAGCCGGCAGCGATCTTCGTCAGATCCGCCAGCTGTCCACCCACCGCTGCCCCCTCTCCGCGTGACATCTACCAGTACGTCTTGTTTTCTTCTTCCTGTCCTGCCCGCGGGCTCAGGGGACGTGGCTGGCAGGGGGGCGCTGCACCAGGGCCCTGCACCTTCTCCAGCTGTGGCCCCCGCCCGGGGCAGCTTCTGGCGGGTCCCACCCAAGGTGGCTCTCTCCTCAGTTGCCCAAAGCTTCTCAGCCACCCTGCCCTCCTCTCTCTCTCTAACCCTGCCCTCCCCTCTCTAACCCTGCCCTCCCCTCTCTAGCCCTGCTCCCCACTCTCTAGCCCTGCCCCCCACTCTCTAGCCCTGCCC